TATAATATATATATATATAATGAGGGGAGCCTCTTTAGTAGGTTGTTGCAACTTCTCAGGAACAACAGTTAATGTGTACGTACACCGTAAATAGAGATGAGTTATGAGTGGCATTTACACCTACATAAGCGGGAGAAGCTGACATTTTAGATGCATGGAAACCGTTGATGCTGCAGGAATATGGGTGTCGTCGCAGTTTTATTGAAATAGGCCTTGTGATCTGCAAAGGAGCAGCGCTAAGGGCTTTAGAATTGTATTGCTGCAGAAGATTTAATTACTAGCAATTTAACGAATGATTTTGCATTGAGTTGGAGGTAAGACGCTCTGCGGGCCTCTTCGAGGCGTACTTCGTACAGCGTATGGATCTGTTCCGAGGCCACTGGAGCCCCGTCCGCGGAATGATGCGGCTTTAGTAGAGCCTATGGCTTATAAGGCTTGGGGTTTAGAGCTTGGTAATAAAGGTTTCGGGTTTAGGATGGAAGTTGGGGGGTTTAAGCTTTAGGATTTAGGCACTAGAGTAAGGTTTACGGTTTACAGTAAACTTCCTGCTGACGGCCGCTAGCAGCGAGCAGGCGGCCTGCGGTGCCGCAGTCTTATCTTTTGCAGCTTCCAACGAACACCTAAGCAAGGGACAGAATCCTTTTTCTCTTGTTTTTATTGTGAACATTTTCAGGGGCTTAACAGCTGAAGCCCTTGTGGGGTCGCTCTAGGTGTCGATCCCCTGGGGACAGAGTCTCCTCTCTCCTCTCTCACAGCCCCGCTGCACTGAGGATGCCGTGCAGCACCAGCACGTTTATAGCACATCGGCAAAGTCATTGTTTTTTTAATGGAAGCATTAAGGGGTCCCTTTAGACGCGCTGCTGCTCCTGCTTCTGCTGCTGCTGCAGCAGCAGCTGCTGCTCTTGGTCCTGGTGAGGCCCAAGTCCTTCCTGTTACGCTTCAAGAGAATGCACACCACACCACAGCTGCTTCGCTGTCTCCTCTAGCTGTCTCCACAGGCTAGGCTTTTGCTTTAATACTCAGACACTACAAGCTCCTGCTGCTCCTCCTTGTCTGTTGCTGCTCTAAGACCACAGCTGGGGGGACCCTTGAGGGCCTCGTAGGCGATCCGCTTTAGAAACGAGGGGGCAGTCGCACTGACCAGGCGAGCTTCTTCCTCTGCAACTTCACAGCAATAGCATCAGCTGCTGCGGTTGTTGTTGTTAGTGTTGCGGTTGCTGTTTCTGCTACTGCGACCGCTTTCGTGTGCTGCTGCACCTGCAGCTGCTGCTGTGTCTTGGACACTGGGCTTCGGGACTTGAGGCCCCTGTGTCTCGAACACTCAATTCCTCTGGCCCGTTGTTTCCCTACCAGCTTCTGGTGGTGCTGGTGGTGCTGCTTACTTCTGCGTAATCTCCCGCCTTACCGTTTGCAGATAAGCTGTTCGGCCGCCTGGGGGCCTCGTGGCCCTCGGGTGTATCTGCAGCTGCCTGGATGTCTCCGATGGTGCAGGATGCCCTTTGGAGGGAGGAGGCAGGAGCAGATGGTGACTCGGAAGATAAAATTCTAGAGGGCTTGGCTGCGCTGGATGATGACGACAACTCAGCTGCTGCTGCTGTTGCTGCAGCTGAAGCAGCGGCAGAAGATGAAGATGAGGAAGAAGAACCCACGACAAACACCTTCATCTTGATACGGCACGGCAGGAATAAGCCTAAGCACCTAAAGCTAGCAGCTCTGCTGTCTGCGTTGGGGCTGCTGTGGACTGCTGCAAAGGCAGGGAGACTTGTGGAGATGCATAGATCCGCAAAAGCGACACAAAGTGCCCCTTCTACTAAGGAACTGCAGCAGTTTGAAGCTTTGGCGGCGGTGCTGCAGCAGCAGCTGCAGCATCAGCAGGCGGGGGCTGCTGAGGCGTCGGCGGAGGCGTTGCAGCAGCTGCAGCAGCTGCAGCAAGTGCAACAGGACACACACGAGCTGCTGCGGCAGCGGCAGCAGAACCTTAAAGCGCAGGCTCTTGTTCCTGTGGAGGGAACTGAAGACCCTGAGGCGCTGGCAGGGCAGCAGAGGCTACAGCAGCCGATGCAGCAGAGAGACGCTTCAACTCTTGAGGTGGACGTGGACTCAAGCTTGACAGGGCTTACAGAGGAGACAGCCCGTGAGATGCTGCAACAGCTGCAGCAGACGCACGCGAAGCTAACAGAAGAGGAGGAGCATGCAGACCTCGAACTGGAGCGCTTCAAAGCTGCTGCTCCCATCCTAGCAGAGCTGCAGCAGCAGCTGCACGAAGCAAGAGAAGAAGTTGGGAAGCTTGAAGCAGCGTCAACCAAGCGAGAGAGCCTGGTTGCTGCATCAGATGAACTCGACGAGCAGCAGCAGCAGCTCCTGCTGGTGCAGCTGGAGCTGCAGCAGCAGCTGGAGGAAAGGGAGAAGCGGCGAGTTGCTAGACAGCAGCAGCTGGAAGCAAAGAGAGCGGCTCTACTGAAGGAGAGAGAAGATGTCGGCAACCAGCTGTCTCTCCTCAAGGAGAAGCACAGCGCCTTGAAGGCAGCAGCCTGCAACGAGGAACTCCAGAAGGAGTTGGAGGAGGAGCAGCAACTGCAGCAGCGCCAGCAGCAGCTAGCGTTGCTGCAACAGTCGCTGCAGCGACTGCTGCAGCGAGATTCGCCGGCCAAAGACGCTGCTTTGCAGCAGCAGCTGGGTAGCGAAGCAGCAGCGGAGGTGCAGCAGCTCCGGCCTGAGGTGCAGCAGCTGTTGCAGGCTCAGGTAGAGCTGCAGCAGCAGAAAATGTATCGGGGCCGAGTAACCGAAGCAGAAAGAACCGTGCAGCAGCAGCAGCGGCAGCTGGACCGCCTGCGAGTCACTCTGAAAGAGCGCATGTCTTTCCCTGGGTCTTTTGGTGCTGCAAGACATATTCAGCTGTCTGTACATATGAAGATATGGGAGTCACTCCTCAACAAGACAGCGGACCAGCAGCAGGAGGAGTGGTACAGAGCGCAGCGAAACAAAACCCTGATGCGGCAGCGGCTAACAGGATCATCAGGGACAGCTACTCACCTTGCTGCGCTGCAGGCTGCATGCAAAAACATTCTTGCCGCTAGAGGGGGGATAGCTGAGGCCCGTAGAGAACGGAACCGCCAGTATATGGTGGAGGAGCTGCAGCAACTCGGCGTTGAAGCTCTCTTGGAGGAGGCAGCAGCAGGAAGAGAGTCGGCAGTGGTGCAGCAGATCGCGGAGAGCATGTGGGAGCAGCAGCAGAAGCATACTGGTGCGCTCAAGCAGCTGCAGGAGCATTCCGAGCAGCAGGTAATCGAGCTGCTGCAACAAATGCACATTGCGGAGAAACCCTCTGCTCCAGGAGCCCCTCTTGGCCTCTTCTACCAGGTCGCAGGCCTTATTAAGGAGGCATCCAAGCAAGAGCACTTTTTGAAGGAGCTAGAGCTGTTGCACGGCAGGAGCCGCTCCCAGTTGGTACAGCAGGCACAGGACCTGCTGCTGCTGGCCCTGGAGACTGCCCGCACGCGCAGCAGCAGCAGCAGCATGGAGGAAGGCGAGGAGGAGGCACTGAAGGCTATGAGCAGAGCTCACGTCGATGCTCTAGAAAAAGAAGAGCAAAAACATATAATGTGGGAAACGCTTATGGAACAATTGGAGGAAAGGTACTCAACAGATCTCCTGCAGCAAACAGCAGCGGACAGAAGTAAGAAGAACAAACAGAAAAAAATCATACGAGAAGCGACAGAACAGCTGCACCACCGGAAACCGCTGGTCCTCACCACTAGCACAAAGCCCGAAAAAGAAACAGCACTCCAAACCCACAACAACACCAAAACACAGCAGCAGAAGCAGCTGCTGCGGCAGCAGAAGAAGAGGCAGCCGAAGCAGAGGCAGCAGCAGCAAAGACCAAAGTTCGGTGGTGACAGGCCAAGAGGTTTTCCTGCTGCCTCAAAAGTGTCGATGCCAACATTTAAGGTGTCTCCTTCCCAATCTGCTCCACTGTCTCACTGGGAGACGGGACCGCGAGAGGCGGGATGGAAGGGATGGATATCGGTGGAAGCGGGGTCGAAAGAGGCAGCAATGGCAACCATGATGATGGAGACAGCAAAACGGAAGGAGAGCACAATAGCAGCGAGAGAGACAGACTCCGAGGAGACAGAATCGAGGCAGGCGGGACTGAGGAAGACGGGAATGGGGGAGACGGTATCGGCGATCCCTTTGCCTTCTATGCTTACTCCGGTTCCCGCGCCTGCAACGGTAGCAACTGCAAGAGAGGCAGCAAAGGAGACAGAAGAAGAGACAGCACAAAAGACAGCGGGAAAAGAGGCAGCGAAAGAGACAACGAAAGAGGCAGAAAAGATAGCAATAGAAAGAGAGGCGGCGGAAGAGACAGCAGGGCAATCAGGGAAGGAGGCAACAGAAGAGGAAGCGGCAGAGACAGGAGAAGTGATGCTGAAGATCCCCTCGTTGCCCACCCCCCCAACTAGAAGGGCTCGCTGGGGAATGCCTACAGAGCCGTTGGAAGCTTTTCTAGGTGTTGCAGCTGCACGGGGGGATTCCGAGGATGAGGAGACAACAGAGGAGTGGCGAGAGGCATCAGATGAAAGAGAGAGGGTACAGGAGGAGGATACAACAAAGGAAGAGGATATATTTGATACAACGGAGGAGGATATAACGGAGACAGGTGACGAGGGGAAAGCGCCTACACCCGCAGTGCCGGTCAGCATGCAGCTAATGATCCAACTCTTAGAGGACGATGAAGGTTCAAACCCCCAACAGGAGACAAGTGTCCCCTCCACCCCCCTTGGCAGTCCCCCCTCAAGTCGTACAGGCAGTTCTTGGGAGAGCCACTTAGTGCCTTTCGGCCTCAACATGAAGGAATTGTACTACATCAAGGATCAACAACTTAAAGGGCAAACACGCCAAACAAGAGCCCGAACGCGATCGCGATCCGGACCGGGATCTCGACCGAGATCGGGTTCGGGACCGGGATCGCAGGGGGGATCGGGATCCGGAACGGGATGGGGGGCTTCTTCTGAATCGGGATGGAAAACACCTTCGGGATCGCAGTCGGAGTCTCCTCCAGCTTCGGAACCGGGAATGTTTCCCTTGCGACGGGCTTCTTCGATGACGGCATTAAAGACTCCATCTACAGTCCATATGAGTTCTTCGAGATCGCCTTCGAGATCTCCTTCGAGGCATTCTATATCCCGTTCAAGTTCTCCTTCTGCTTCACATTCAAGATCGTCCTTGAGATCTTCTGCATCTCCTTCGAGATCTCCTTCTGGTTCTCCTTCTGCATCGCCTTCCAGAGCGTCTTCCAGATCTTCTTCTGTAGCTGCTGCTGCTGGATCTCCTCCGGCATCTTCTTCGTCTTCTTCTTCATCCTTTTCTTCTGCCTCTCCTTCGAATTCGTCTCCAAGGCCTTCTCCCCCCATCTTTGCAACTCCATCTGCAGCACCACATACCCAGTCCCCAGAGGCGAGAAGGCGCAACAGCTTCACTACAACGCAGAGCCTGCAGCAGTTGCAGCAGCTGCAGCAGCAGCAGCCGCAGTCGCCGGGCACCAGCAGACGGCAACCTCAGGCAAAGGCTGCTCCTCCCACTGGGCGCCACTCCAATTCTCGTTGGAGACCCTAAAGAATACAGTATCTCTATGCTGTCTCATTTAGGGCCTACTATTCTTAATTAGGGATATGCCATCTGTGTTTTTGACCCTTGCAGTATATCTGCCTTTCCTAAACAGCGAAAAAGAGGGCCCTGCGCCTCACTTCATGCAGCGTTTCCCTCCCCATGCACCATCAGGCTGCTTTGCCTCTGGCTGCGCATGCAATATGTCCACACATCTTTACAAGCTGTGGAGTCTCCAAGGGGGGAGGGACAGCAGACACCTCTTTGAGGGCAAGACGGAACCACAGGTTCCTCGACAGCAACAGCGACAGCATCAGCACCAAGACAATTCGGTGCTGATGCTGAATGCTCCGCTGTAGCTGTAAGCAGTGGATTTCACAAGACAGGAAGGGGACAGCGACACTGCTTTTGTGTCCCCTCACTGCTCGTCTTTATTGGTGGGCTTTGACGGCCCTCGGTGACCTCCAAACCCTTAACCTTAAGCCCCCAAACAGGCCGTTTTCTTCAAGACTTGGCTTCTGTTTAATCCCTCACTGCTGGAGGGACAAACCCTCCTTCCTCCTTTATGCTACTTTCCTAGAAGGGCCCGGCAGCTCACTCCAGCTAATCTCGTTATACAGTGTACCTCTCTCCACACACCGTCAGCTTTGCTGTTGTTTTGTTGCAGCCTGCTGTATTCTGATGCTGCGTTGGTGCGTCCTTGCTGCAGTTATTTGCAGTTTTCTGTTGCAGTCTTGCTGCTGCCTTCTCTGGTTTTACCTGCCTCGCTGCAGCATTCTCTGGTTTGCTGCAGCCTTCTGTATTTTGCTGCTGCCTTGCTGCAGCGTCTAGCTGCGACAAAGGGCCGCTCTCGGCAAATACAGCTGTTTTTACAGACACTGTAGTCCTCTGGCCAGCTGGCTATCTGGCTGGCTGTAAAATGCCCGTAGACGTGTAGGTCTTTTTCTAAAAGGGTTTGGGGGAGAGAGAGGGGGTAACGGCTGAGAGCCGTCTACAAAAGACGACCCGTGCACAAACCTTAAGCCCTCGGCAAGTCCTTACGCCCTTGCGCAAACTGTAAACCCCTCCTTAGGCGTAGTGTCTGCTAAGCTGTGACTTAGAATGCAGCCTAGGCAGTCAAGAGACAGCTGAAGCGAAGCAAGGAGGCGGAAGACCCTTGCTGCCATCTCCTTGCTAGCAGGCACTGCAAGCAGGAAGTTTTGTGTCCCTCTCTAGTTGCAAATTAGGCAGGAATCAGATACCTTGGGCCTTAAAAGCTCCGCTTAGGGTTTAGGGTTTACGGTCTGATGCGTGTCTGAATGCTCATGCTGGTGAGCAAGAAATGTAATCTGCCCATTTGACTGTAACAGCCGGAAGTGCTAAAACCTAAACCATAGGCCCTAAACCCCTTTCGTCCCCAAACCCCAAACAATTCTAGGCACTTATATACTAGTGAGCGAGTGGTTGAGCACGATGACCGTAAACCCTTCAGAGCTTCGTTCCGTGGAGCTCTACGCCTTGCATCGCTTTAGCCTCTCAACCCTAATCCCTAGAAACAACGATCCCTATAGCTCTCAATATCAAAAACCCTAGACACTAAATCCTACACCTTAAATCCCTCCGGGGGCGGGGGGGGAGAGGGACCGTGTGTGCCGCCCGAGCTTCTTGGCGGTCTGCGCGCAGATGTCACGGCAAACACTAACCTCCAGGGATATCACCTAAGAGTTTAGAGTTTAGGGGTTCTGGTTGATGGATGAGGGTCTAGAGTTTAAGGTTTCGCAGCAGAGGCAGCAGATCTGCTGGGAGCCTCAGCAGCGATCCCCGAGCACGCGGAAGGGGGTTTCTGGCCTTTAAGGTTTTGTTGTTCTCTGCCTCCATCCACTGTAGCTCCTGCTCATAATTAAGTTTAAAATAATAATAGTAATTATTATTATTATTACTTTCCGTTTCTTCTTAACTGTACCGGGAGAAGAAGCCACCTTTGCCGCCCCTGCAGCAGCTGCTGCCAGCGCATGCAGTCTCTAAACAAGCTGCGACTGCTGCAGCAAGACGCGCATCGGTCCTTCTTTCTCATTAGTCGAGTTTGTGCTGCTATTCTCGAGGAGACAGAAAGCCAATAAGTCCTTACACGAACCCGAAGGAGAGGGCTCACAGCAACTGTCTCCTTGGGGGCCTCCCAGGGTTCCACTCACCGCTCCGTTGCTGTTGTGGTTGCTGCTGCTGTTGCAGCAGCAGCCCTACAGCCTCCTCAGGGACACCTCGACATTCCCGTTTCTCCCTGGTCTCCTGGAGCCGTTGCTACTCCCTCTGTCTCCCTCCCTTTCACGCAGCTTGAAGCAGAGGAGACCAACGAGCAACACTTAGCTGTCTCCCGTAGCTTACACTGCACAGACACCATGGAGACTCCCCCTCCTGCTGCTGCTCCCTCTCTCCCCACTCCCGCTGAATTCGAGACCGTCGTTGCTGCCCTGCAAAGCACAGACAGCAGCAACAGGCAGCAAGCGCAACAGCTGCTGCAGCGGCTGCAGCAGCAGCAAGAAGATTGCACCGGATTCTGTCTAACCGTAATTGAGGCAGCACGAGACCCCGCTGTTGCTACAGTGGCTGCTGTCCTCCTCCGCAGTGCAGGTAGGATTTAGGAGTTTAGGGTTTAAGGTTTGGGCTTGGATTTGGGAGGCCGTCGCCGGGATTAGGGCTTAATGCTTGGGTTTTACCTTGTGTGGCCTTCGCTGCAGCCTTGTGGCACTGGAATGCCCGGATAGCTGCATCAGCAGCAGCAAAGAAGAGGCTGGCTGCTGCGCCTCCGGGTGAAGCAGCAGCAGCAGCTGGTCAAGCTGCAGCAGCAGCAGCTGAGGCCCTACAGCTGTATGTACAGCGTATGCAGCAGCTCACGGCAAGCATCGTGCTTATGTTACAGCAAAAGGCAGCAGCAGGTTGCAAGGGTAAGTCTTCGTGCTCCCCTTTTTGTCTGCTTTGAACTGGCGACCCAAAACCTTCGCTCACCCTGTCGCAGTGGCTGCTGCTGCTGTTGTTGCTGCTTCTGCTCCTGTTGTTGCCGTTGCTGCTGCAGGCAGCGGGGAGCGGCAGCTGTCGCATGCATTTTGCTGTTTGGCAAAGAAGGGCCTTGCAACAGATCCTCCAGTCTTTTTGCCGGCTTTAAAACAAATACTGATGGAGGTTAGTTTTTGCCTCTTCTGTCTTCCTGTGTCTTTTTAGTGCCTCCTTTTGTCTCTCCTTCTCTCTCCTCTTGCTTCCTTACTGTCCCCTTTTGTCCTTGTTGCTCACTTTGTTGTGTACCCTTTTATCTCTCTGTCGCTGTCCCTCTCGATGTCCCTTTCCCTGTCTCTTTCCCCCTGTCCCTCTTCCTCTCCCTACTTCTGTATTCTGTATCTCTGTGGCTCCTTTTGTTTTTCTAGTTATCTTTTGGTTCTCGCCTTGCGTCTCCTCCTGCCTCTCCTGTGTCTCTCTGTCCCCCTAAGGTGTCTTTGTGTCCATTTGCTTGTCTGCATGCATATTATAAGTATTATATATTATATACGCCTTATATATATTGTGTATACTCTATGTATGCATATGCCTCTGAGTGAAAGTCCAAATATATAGCTGCATGTGCTTGGGGCTGTATGGCGGAGCATACGTGCATGCATGCATGCACCAACGTAAAGGCCGGTGCACTCATGTATGTATGCAGCATTTCTTGACTTGTCTGCCTGGATAGGTACAGGCCAAGTTGATATACTTATCTTGGCTGCTGGACTCAAGCGAGTCTAGGCAGAAAAGACAGCTGCTTATAGATGTACAGTAATAAGTTAAGGCCAACAGAGGATGAGTGTACAAATATACACAAATATAAATGATCTGTGGATATTTGTAATAGCTGCGCACTAGGGATGGAGGGCGAGTGGCTGCTCCTGCATTTGCGGCTGTTGTTGCTGCTACTGCAGGTGGTTGCAAAGGGCTTTACTGAGCGGATTCCCCTGTTCTGGATGTCTCTGCTGGCGGAGACTGCGCAGGAGATGCAGCTGCAGCAGCAGCAGGGCATGCACCTGTCATTGCAGCAGCACGCCGCCTGCTGCCGCTCTTTTCAGCAGCAGCTGTTGCTGCCGCTGCTGCAGTTTGTGCTGCAGCGTTTGCAGTTTATATTGGACAACCCTCAACCGCAAGGCGCATGCAAAGAGGAGATTGGTGAGGGCGACTGTGCGGCTTGTCTGCTGCTGCTATTGCGAAGCGTTGCAGCAGCAGCAGCAGCAGCAGCAGCAACAGCGGCAAAGCTACGTTTGCTGCAGTTCAGTGGAGTTGGCTTTTGACGAGATTCTTGTTTGGGTTGTGGTTTACAGCAGTTGTTGCAGCTGCATCTGGCAGTCTCGGGTAGATCAGTGTGATAGTGGGGTCATTGTTGCGGTGTATGTACAGCTGGCATCCTATTGGTAATAGAAACAGCATGCTCTTGGAGCTTCGGCCACATGCTGCTGCGGCTTTCGAGTGTAGATGAGCTGTCGCTGGCGCCTCCGGCAGAGTGGATCCCTGTCTTCTTTCCTCAGGCGGCGGCAGCAGCAGCTGCTGCTGGTGCTGGTGGCGGAGGAACAGGTGCTGCTACTGCCGCTGCCCCAGGCGGCCTTCCACCGCCTCTACCGCAGCAGGAGGGGCTGTTTGTGTTGGTGTTGCGGCTGTACAAGTTGCTACGGGAGATGCAGCAGCAGCAGCAGCAGCAGGGGTCAGAGCTGTTTGCTACCTGCCGCTACCTGCTGCAGCGGGTTGCCAAGTTTAGACCCTTAGCAATGGCAGATGCCTTGTTGGGAGGAGAGGAGGGAGGTGATGCAGCAGCTAACAGCGGCGCATCTGCTGCTTCTGCAGGAATCCTGCCCCTTAAAAAGAGCTACTCAGGGCCTGTTGCTCGTTCCAAGAAACAAAAACTTACTCTCTTGGTCTATGTGCCGCTTTTGCAAGTACTGCTGGATCTAGTAGAGACGTGTGCCTTCTACAGAAGTCTTCCAGGGGCCCCAGAAACCCCAGGGGGCTCCCAGGGCCCCCAATCCCCAGCCGCTCAGGGGGTCCCCTCTTCTCTGCAGGATGTAGAGGAGGCTCAGGACTTGTGCGCAGCACTCGCTAACGTTGCAGGTACGTGTAAAGGAAATGCAGAAGACAGAAGAGAAGAGGGTGCCACCAAGGGACCTGTGAACTCCCATCTACTGCGTGTGCTCCTCTATATCTGGACAAAGGCACGCGTGTATATATATATATATA